ATCTTAGCAAGCAGCCAGCAGTAGGGACGGGAATCGAGAACTGGTTTTTGTAGAGAACCAGTTCCCAGTCGTCCAATTCCTGGGAATCGTTAGTTTGGTTATGGGTTCTCGCACTCGTGCTACGATCAGCTGATTTCAGTTTGTGTGTCACAGGAGGAAAATAGTGGTGCAGTCTACAGCGTGGATGTGGATATTACTTTTATGACATAAAAAGGATGAGAGCACATTGGTTGAGTGGAGACTGCTACAGTAGAACGACCGTGGCAAATGCTTTAAAGTCTCTTTGTTGTGGTTTTCATCTTTGCTTTGTGTCCATACCTAACTACTAAGAAAGATCCTGTGTCCTCAATAGGATAGGGATTTGTGTTGTTGTGGGGCTGTAGCCTCAGGTTTATATTGTTAATTGTAATTATGAGACAGTGTCTTTGAGGTCATTTTACAGAGTAAGATGAAACTAACGTGAGCAGTATATCGAATGTCTTTCTCCTGAGTGTAATTAAGAAACATACTGCATTACTTTTAAGAAAGTATTCTGTGTAATAACTTTTTAACTTTACTTTTGAGTAACAGCCCCAACACTGATCACAACAAAGACGGGAAAAACATCCAACATGCACAAATTCATTTGCATGAATGTAATATCTTTGATATACTGCTCAGAGACGAGGATTCTCAAATTGGAGCAAGGAATCGAATCAATAAGTGATCGATCGATAATGGAATCAGAATTGCTCAATTCTTATTAATTCTCATCCCTAGCCAGCAGATTCCATTAAAACCAGTAATGCAGACACAATGGCACAACTAAGTCACTTATCATACAGACTGAGATGTTCTTCAACATTTTTTAAAATCTATGACTGACCTGCATCTGTGAGCCCAAAACCGTGTTGTTACAGGTCAGCTCAGTGCGGTTGATGGTGTCCATAGAATCCATTGAGGCATGTATCTGTGTGGTTGAAGCAGGTGTCGTGGCACCACTTTCGCCCTTTGAGATGGTGGTACTGGTTGATCGGTGAAGCTGGAGCAGTGTCTGCACATCTGCGCTGTACTGGTTGGCAAGAGCCTCCTCATACTGGTCTGTCCACTGGCGGATCCTGCTCTCCCATCCCTCTTCTGTGTTCTCATCCAACACACTAGCCTCTGTGGTAGAGTTCTGT